CCTGCTGAAATACAAATATAAATTACAGCAGCAGTATTGGGGAAAGAAGCCAATTATCTAATATTGTAAAAATGTTCAATTTCTGTAGAGAAGAACTGAATTCTTCTAAAGAATGCAATAATAAAGTAATACTTTCAAGTAATATCACCAGTGACAACTGCCCTCTTGGCCAGCACATTGAGAATTGAATCCAGACCATTAGAACTCAAAGCAAGAACTGCCACGAACTAAAGCTCTGTAGCTTAGGCTGTAACAGACTCATATCCTTTGTGGATCAGGCACATAGTAGGGCTGTAACATACTTGCCAGTGAATTATTCTAATCCCTTTCCTTCAGATTCAGAAGGAATGCTCGTTACCAAAAAGTCAATATTTTACTAAAGTTTTCAAAGGTCTCTTGCCTTTTACTTATTAACTAATTTGTTAGGGCTGTCAAACAATTAAAAATGAATCATGATAAATCACGATTAAAAAATCAATCACAATTAATTGCATGATTAATCACACAGTTAAACAATAATAAGAATACTATCTATTTAAATATTTTTTGATGTTTTCTACATCAAAGGGGCTGATCCCAGGCTCCCCGCCTACAATATTTCAGTGAAGTGAACTGAAGTTTTTTTCTTACAGTAGAAATGTTTTGTAATAAAAAATAAATATAAAATGAGCATGATACACTTTGTATTCTGTGTTGTAATTGAAATCAATATATTTGAAGATGTAGAAAACATCATCTGTAATCCCCAGGATGACCCTGGGCTCTGTGCAGTGTTGCCCCCTTTGAAATGCCAGGGCGGTGTTTCAAAAGGGCAGCGCAGCAGGAGCTGGGAATCAGCAGTGCGGCGCTGCCCCTTTGAAATGTGGCAGTGTTTCAAAGGGGCAGCCCCGCACATCTGATTCTGGTCTCTGTGCAAGTGCCTGCAATTAATGCAGACGTTAATGTGCATTAATTGACAGCCCTACAAATAATACTTTTTTAGGATTCTGGCCAATATTGTGTTTTTCTGTTTTTCTTTTTATTTCAAAGGCTGATATTTTCTGCCCTACTGTACAGTTGGGTTATGTTCTTGGAACTGTAGCTATATGAAATGGACTCAGAATAGTCAAATTTAGCTCCAAAGTATTGGCTTGATAAAAAATTAATTTTCTTGCATACTGTGGATTAGAAATCTGGATAATTTGCATGACACTAATAATGCCGGAACACTGTTTGCAGGTAGTGGTAGTGCAGAGAGAAAGAGAAAGCTTTTAACTAAGACTGTGTTTTATGCATATTTTTTTTAGTTAAAATAAAATTAGTGCTCCACAGAACTTTAATTGTTTTTAATTAGGAATCATGAGAAGTGAAATAATCTGTATTCATGCAAAATTGATTTGAATCATTTAATAATCTTTCACTAGCAACTTAAGACCATTTTAAAAAATTACTCCAGATCCAATGGGCATTGAAACATAAGTCAATAAAAGGACAAATATGTAACATATGTACAGGACTTTAGCTCAGTAGCCAGCTGGTGAGAGTGAAAAAACTAAACATCATGAATTTTGAAAAAATATACAACTCTGCTTATAACCATTTCTAAGCATGAATGTGGAATGAGTATGTGGAGTGTCAAAATGCCAAGAATGTAGAAAATGAGACTCATCAGCCACTGTAACAGCTCCGTGGCAGATATTCACTCTCATAAATTGCTGTGAATGTCATTTTCACATGCCCAGGTGTGTTCTGAAATCTTACAAACATCTTTGTCTTCTATAGGGAAGACATTAATATTTGGAATTTATCCCTACAGGAAGCAAACAGATCAGACTGATGAATGGAGTAGATAGATGTGCCGGGAGAGTGGAGATATATCACAACAACACCTGGGGGACAGTCTGTGATGATTCCTGGGATACATCAGATGCCAGTGTTGTTTGCAAAGAATTGGAATGTGGACACACCATCAGTGCACCTGGCTCAGCTCATTATGGGCAGGGATCAGGGCAGATCTGGCTGGATGATGTGAGCTGTTTTGGAAATGAATCCTATCTTCGTGACTGTTCCTCTGGAGGATGGGGTCAGCATAACTGTGGGCATGGTGAAGATGCTGGAGTTCTCTGCTCAGGTCTGTTCTGTGGATGCTGATTTCAAATTGATATGCTAGGATTAATATAAATGACAGAGAAGCCATACAATAAGAAGAGAAGAATGGACAGTAGACAAAAATCTTCTTGCTCATCACATGCACATATTGCCATCTAGTAGATCAGCTCCAAAGGGAGTTGTGAAGCCAGTGCTGGGTGGAGACTTGCCATGAGCTGGATGAAATGAAGCACAGGCTGGATCCAGCTTGCTGAACACAGGTTTCCCACCCTTCTTTACAGCAGCCCAAGAGTGATCCCGAATAGAGACTGCAGATTTGAAATTAGGTGTATTGGCAGAGCTAGTCCTGTACTGAGGAGAAGCTTGCACAGTTCCTGCTCATACTGTATTCATGCTATAGCTGTCCCCTACAAATAGTCAGTTTGTCAGAGTGGTCCACTGAGTGTCTCAGCTACTGATGAGCACTAGGAAAGCCTAGTTTTTCAACAAACTCTACAGCAATGGTTCCCAACCTTTTCTAGATGGGGACCCATTTTGACAATTCAGGAAGACTTGGTGACGGAGGGCAGTTCATAAAATGTGTGATGGCTCCTTAAGAGCCACCTGGGGAGACATCTGGTGACCCTTTTAAAACGTAATGGCGACCCATATTTGGGTCCCAATCCATAGGTTGGGAAACCCTGCTCTACACACTCCCAATATTGACTCCCTTTACCTGCCTTACTTAGAGCAACTTAAAAAACAACAAATAGTCCTGCAACGTTAGGGTACGTCTACACTTGTCCCCTAGTTCGAAGTAGGGAGGCAAATGAAGCCTACCGAAGTTGCAAATGAAGCATGGGATTTAAATATCTCATGCTTGATTAGCATATTCGCGGCCAGTCGCCATTTTAAAAAGCTGGTAGCCCGAATTAACTCTCCGCGTGTAGACGCGGTAGTCTGATCCAAAACCCTTCCCTTGAATTAACTGTTACTCCTCATTCTCCATTTTTCCCCATTTATTTCTTCATTTGGTGTAATGCCATTTTAAATTAATATGCACTAAAAAACAAAATGTATGATGAAAAAAAAAGGCATCAAAAGAACAATCTTAGTATTATGCATAAATGTGTTTGTGTGCAGAAAAAAGGCCTCAAACCCGTTTAGGGTTCAACAAGTCATGAGATCTAATACCAGAACTCTGACACATTTCCTTAAACTCTGTTTACTGTTGTATTGACTGTAACAAGAAACGATTTTCCATCATTAATGCTGTGCTATTAAGAGAAATAACAGTTTTGCCTGAGAATATTGGCATTCTTTGTTCAGGAGTTTTTTGTTCTGAAATCTTCTTCAGAACAAATATGCTATGCCAATAGCTGGGCTTCTTCCCTGCAGGGAGCAGGCAGATCAGACTGGTGAATGGAGCCGATCGCTGTGCTGGGAGAGTGGAGATTTCTTACAATGGCAGCTGGGGCACAGTCTGTGATGATTCCTGGGAACTATCAGATGCCAGTGTTGTTTGCAAACAGCTGGGATGTGGCCACGCCATCAGTGCAACTGTCTCTGCTCATTATGGACAGGGATCAGGGCAGATCTGGCTGGATAAAGTGAAGTGTTCTGGAACTGAATCCTATCTCTGGGAGTGTTCTTCCAGTAGATGGAGTCATAACAACTGTGGACACAGCAAAGATGCAGGAGTTCTCTGCTCAGGTATGTTGTATGAATCAAATGGCCTATTGAGTCTTTCAGAGGTGCAATTCAGGCCAACATGTTTAAAGCTGTGTTCAGCTTCTCACTTAAAGCAGGCATTCACACTCGTCAGCTCAGGTTACCTATTAATTTGATATTAACTAAGAATCTGATACTAATATCTGAAATTTCTGCTTACAGGAAGCAAACAGATCAGACTGGTGAATGGGCCAGATCGTTGCTCTGGGAGAGTGGAAATTCATCACAGTGTCTCCTGGGGGACAGTCTGTGATGATTCCTGGGATCTATCTGATGCCAATATAGTTTGCAAAGAACTGGGATGTGGACACGCCATCAGTGCACCTGGCTCTGCTTATTATGGGCAGAGATCTGGGCAGATCTGGCTGGATGATGTGAGCTGCTCTGGAAATGAATCCAATCTTCGGGACTGTTCCTCCAGAGGATGGGGTCAGCATAATTGTGGGCACAGTCAAAATGCTGGAGTTCTCTGCTCAGGTCTGCTTTTTCAAAGCTTTATTGAATCTAATTAATTCAAGACTAATATAACAGATGGGTGGAACCCTACTTGAGACCTTGTTCTTTAATTCGTTACTCTTTGCTTGTGGTTGTTTAACCAACCATGTATTTATTTTATGGTTGTTCCATCTCACATATCCGAATGCCATGCGAGACTGTGTCAAAAGTCATGATAAAGTCCAACATATTATGTGTCATTCCCCCCTCTCATTCCCCCAATCTACCAAACTAGTTAGCCTGTCAAAGAAAGAAGTCAACTTGATTTGGTATGATTTCTTCATAGTAAATACTTGCTGGCTGCTAGTAAATAGTAAATACTTGCTGCTCCCTTTCATCCAAAAAGTGTTATTGCTGTCATGGGTTCCCAGGTATCAAGATTGAGTGGATAAGTCCTTAGTTCCCTCACTTCTCCATTTATCCTTTTTTAAAGATGGGCACTACATTAGCCATTCTCCAGTTTTCCAGAACCTCTCCTGTCATCCATGAGTTTGCAAATATTATTGCCAGTGGATCCAGTAGCCTCCTTTTGCTTTTGTGGGTCAATATAGCATCAGCTCCTGTTGATTAAATTCATTCGAATTAGTCAGATAATGAGAATATAACATTAATATTTGGATTTCTCCCACAGGAAGCAAACAGATCAGACTGATGAATGGAGTAGATAGATGTGATGGGAGAGTGGAGATTTATTACAACAGCACCTGGGGGACAGTCTGTGATGATTCCTGGGACTTAGCAGATGCCAGTGTTGTTTGCAAAGAACTGGGATGTGGACAAGCCATCAGTGCACATGGCTTAGCCCATTATGGGCAGGGATCTGGGAAGATTTGGCTGGATGATGTGAGCTGCTCTGGAAGCGAATCCCACCTCCGAGACTGTTCCTCCAGAGGATGGGGTCAGCATAACTGTGGACACGGTGAAGATGCTGGAGTTCTCTGCTCAGGTCTGTTCTGTGAATGCTGTATTGAATCTTATTTTTAACGGGTTAATATAAAAGGTGGGTATTAACTAATAGAGAATCCATAAAATGAGAACCTGAAAATGTCAGTGGAGAATCTCTTTGCTGATCACATATTTTTTTACATAAATTAGTAAACTGGTCAAAAAGTACAAGATTCCAAATCACAGAATCATAGAATTATAAGGTTAGAAAGGATTATAGGGGTCAAAGAAAGGTATTATGTCGTCCTTAATCTCCTTGTTTCCAAACTAACATACACAGTTCCTTCAGCCTTCGCTCATATGGTGTGTATATTTTCCCTTCAATCACACTATCACTCACCTCTGGATCCCTTTTAGTTTTTCTACATCCTTTCTATACTTTGGTGAGCAAAATTGTTCCATCTAGAGGGTGGACAGAATTGCCTGGTCCCTGGGCCAGGTATGGGCAGGATGGTTCTGTGCTGCCAGAAGGGGAGGAGCCTTGAGTGAAATCGGTGAGGCTGGGTCTAGTCTCCCCCTCACTAGCCCTTCAGCACTACCCAGAGTGTACTGAGTGTGGATTTGAGATGTGCTGAAAGAGGCTCTGAAGGCAATTTAAAGAGTCCAGTACTCTGGCTGCCCCTGCAGTGGTGGCAGCTGAGAGCCCCAGACCCTTCTGAATTGGCAGGCTTCAGGGCAATTCTCCTTCTATTCCCCTGCTCCTAGAGATGAGACCTAACCACCACTGAGTATACGAGCACTATCACCCTCTGACATGCATGCAGCTGTAACAGATGGCTTAAAGGGTCATGCAGTCTAGTGGTTAGAGACCTTGTCTATGCGCTCCTGCTTAGTTGAGTAGCCCCAGTCTTTAAGACCTGCATGTCTGGGAGTCAGAATTCACTGCTCTGGGCTATTTCCTACCCATCTGTTCAGTTCTGGGCTAGGAATGTTAAATATCAGTTAATTGAATAATTGAGTAACCTCATGAATTCATATCGGTTACTCAATCACGCTGTAGTCCCTGTGAGCGGGGCCTGCAGCCAGTGTGCTCTGGCCTCACTCACAAAGAGCCCCAGACATTCCGCGCTGCTGCCTCTGTGTCTGATACAGAGGCAGCAGTGCAGGTTGGCAGCAGCCCATGTCTAGGTGGGGTCTAAGCTCCCAGACCCGGAGTGAGCTTGAATTGAGCCAGGCTGCCCGCCCGCCTGGGTCCTAATATACTTTAAATGCAGAGCCTCAGTGGGGAGAGATTCCAGACCCATTGCAAGCCAGGCTGTTGTCCAGAATGCTAAAAAATTCAGTTGCGGGAGCGTGGGAAATGCATGTAGTCTAGAACATTAACTTATACATTTTTGCTTATCAGTTAATCGAATATACTATTAAATCCCTTTTCTGGGCATGGCATTCTAGTCTTATTGGCTTGTAACTTGCTTCGTAGGGTTCCCTTTTGGGTTCTGGCCCATGCCTTGCTGCTGTTCCAAGTTCCTTCAAGGGGACAGCCGCAAATGGGTGAGTCAGAGCCCTGCAATGTCTTTGGAGTCTGCTCATTCACTTACCTCAGCTGCTGAAGACTCTTGGGTGGAGAGACAGTTCTTCCTCCTAGATGGCTACCCAGCTAGTACTCCTTCCCTTCACATAGAGATACAGCCAGCACCTGCCTCTTCGCTAATAAGCCCTGAATTGAGGCAGGCTGTTGCCTCCTCTACTAACAATCAGGCTTGTCTTCCGCTGCAGTGACAGTAGGGCAGGGCTAGCTGGGCCCATAGGCTCTCTATAATCTCTGCTGTGCTAGCTGGCAGTTCCTCTGCTTCATCACAGCATCCTAAAAATGTATTTGCTGTTTTGTAGCAGCACTGCATTTTTTACTCTTATTGAGGTTGTGATCCACAACAACCACCAGCACCTTCTAAGCAGTGTTGCTGCCAAGCCAAACATCCCCGATTTGTATTTCCTTATTGGGTTTTCCTTTTCTAAATGTAGCCCCTTACATTTGATGTGGTTGACTTTTTTTCTTGTCCATATTCCACATGACTGCTTTTTTTGTTTTACCATTAATAAAACTATGAAATAACTCTGGACACAGAACATGTCCCCATGTAACCCTGCTTTTGAGGCCTGCTTATAATATGTCACCATTCTGTTACTCTTCATTTGCGATTGTTTAACCAATTATGGATCTACTTAATGGTAGTTCCACCAAGCCTGCATTTTTTCCTGATTACTTATTAGAATGTCATGTGGGAGTGTGTCAAAAGCAGTGGCATAGTCCAGTTATATTATGTCCATCATATTCTCCCTATCTGTCAAACCTTCAACTGTGTGACAGAAGGAAATCAAGCTATTTTGGCATGATATGCTCTTTGTAAATCTATGCTGAGTGCTAGTGATTCATCATCCAAGTATTCACACATGGAAGACATATATTATTTTATAAATTACTCTAATAACTTCCCTTGTATCAAGGTTAAGTAGACTGGTCTGTAATTCCCTAGCACTTTTTTTCCCCCCCTTTTTGAAGTTGGGAACTATGTTAAACCTTTTCCGGTCTTCCAGGGTTTCTCCTACCATCCAAGTATTTGGAAATAATATTGCCAGTGGATCCAAATTTATTTCAACTATTGCCTTTTGCATCCTAGGGTGAACAGCACTGGGTCCCACTGATTTGTTGTATTTATTAAAATTAGTCAGAAGATTATAGGAATGTGATAATAATATCTGGAATTATTCCTACAGGAAGCAAACAGATCAGACTGATGAATGGAGTAGATAGATGTGATGGGAGAGTGGAGATTTATTACAATGACACCTGGGGGACAGTCTGCGATGATTTCTGGGATCTAGCAGATGCCAATGTCATTTGCAAAGAATTGCGATGTGGACATGCCATCAGTGCACGTGGCTCAGCCCATTATGGGCAGGGATCTGGGCAGATTTGGCTGGATGATGTGAGCTGCTCTGGAAATGAATCCTATCTTTGGGACTGTTCCTCCAGAGGATGGGGTCAGCATAACTGTGGGCATGATGAAGATGCTGGAGTTCTCTGCTCAGGTCAGTTCTGTAGATGCTGTATTGAATCTGATTAATAATATGTTAATATAAGAGGGGCTGACTAACAGATAAGCCATAAAATGGGAAGAACCTGCATATGCCAGTAAAGAATCTCGTTGCAGGTCACACAATTCTTTTGATCTATTTTCCTGTGTAATGGTGACCAGCCTTTGCAACCCTGCCAAACCCAAGAGTTCAAAATATTGAGTTGGGCCCCATAAATCAGGAAATGTGTTAAAAATAATGAGATTCGAAGTCATAGAATCATACAGTTAGAAGTGATGATGGGGTCATTTAAATAAGATACAGGATTTGATGAGTCTAAGCTATTCAAAATAGAGGGCTATATGGTTTCATTTTGAAAACATTGAGGCTACGTCTAGAATGGCATGATTTTCCAGAAATGCTTTTAACGGAAAAGTTTTCTGTTAAAAGCATTTTCGGAAAAGAGCATCTAGATTGGCACGGACTCTTTTCCGCAAAAGCACTTTTTGCAGAAAAGCGTCCGTGGCCAATCTAGATGCTCTTTTGCGCAAAAAAGCCCCGATCGCCATTTTCGCCATTAGGGCTTTTTTGTGCAAAACAAATCTCAGCTGTCTACACTGGCCCTTTTGCGCAAAAGGGACTTTTGCCCGAATGGGAGCAGCATAGTATTTCTGCAAAAAGCACTGATTTCTTACAGTAGGAAGTCAGTGCTTTTGCGGAAATTCAAGCGGCCAGTGTAAACAGCTGACAAGTTTTTCCAGAAAAGTGGCTGATTTTCCGGAAAAACTGGCCAGTCTAGACACAGCCCAGCTGTTTGGAAATTGCCGAGTGGCACCAGCTCTCCCAAGAACAAAGAACCATCTCCAGCATCACCACTTTGTATTGCAAGTGTAAAATTCACTTCAACCTCCCCTCCAATAGCAAATACACAACCCAGCAAATCTAAAATTAACAAAATCCACCACTTCGTAGAATTGTCTGGGGGCAGGGATACAAACAGAAACCCCCAAACAAGAAAGCTAATCACAAGTGCTAATTGTGTTACTGCATCCCTAGAAAATGATCCGATCTATAGCAGTGAAACACGGTGGAATTACCCCACTAGAAAATAAAGGCACCAAGTTGCAAAGCATGGGTCTGGTGTATCTCTTAGTGCCCTCCCAAGCAGCGGGGAAAGTAACTTAAAATTTCTGACGGGTATTGTCCTATTGCAACCTAGGTCCCTGACAGCTCTTTATATAGCGCCCTACTGGCTTTTGCTGCAGCTCAGCCAGCTCTTGCTGGAGCTAAACACCAGAGTGCACCCACTTCCATTTGCTTCTGCTCCCAGGTCAGCAGTGCATCTAATTTAACTCCAGTCTTCACCATGAGGCTACGATCAGCTTTATAGTTCCGTACTAGCACACCCATTAGCACTCCTGTTAAATCAAGCTCTTAAATAACCGACAATCAGCTGAGTTGGCACAGCGCGGCCGCCATTTTTATTTTAATGAAGCCGTGGATATTTAAATCTCCGCTTCACTGACTGTGTCGGGTAGCCTATTTTACATGCCTCTGTCGGCAGAGGCACATAATCTAGATGTACCTAAGAATACCCAGTTCCTTCAGCCTTTACACGTATGGTGTGCATTCTGTCCTTTTTATCACCATGTCATTCACCTCTGGTTCCTTTCCAGTTTCTCTACACTCCTCCTATACCTTGGACACAGTACTGCAGCTGAGACGTAACCAGCACCAAACACACCAGTACTGTTGCTTCTTCTGATTTCCATGTTAAGCCTCTATTAATGCAACTATAAGAGTCAGCTTGGAGCGACAGGTACTCTCCTAGTTAGAGTGCCTGGCTATGAGCCCCCACTTGGTTGAGTAACCTCAGTCTTTAAGGCCTGTTTAGTAGGGGGATCCTGGTACTCCTTCTCCACTAGATTGCAGCCCAGTTCCCAGGATATGTCAACTCTTGAGTGGGAGCATCCCTCCCAGTAGGAAGTCAGAATCCACTGCCCTGGGCTACTTCCTACCAGTCTGTTCAGTTCCAGGCATGGCCCTCCAGTCTTGTTGGCTGTGTAACCTGCTTCCTGTAGGGCTCCTTCTTGGGCCTTGGACCTTGCCTTGCTGCTCTCCCAATTTCCTTTGAAAGAACAGGTGTAAATGAGTGAGTCAGTGCCCCACAATGTCTTTGAGGTCTGCCCCGTCAGTTACCTCAGCTGTTGAAGGCTCTTGTGTGGAGAGACAGTGCTTACTCTCAAATGGCTGCCCAGCTAGTACTTCTTCCCTTCATGCAGGGAGACAACTAGCGCCTTCCTTGAATGAGTACTAATGAGACCTGAATTGAGGCGGGCTGTCATCTCCTCTACCAACCATCAGTCTTGCCTTTGGCCATGCTTATAGTAGGGCAGGGCTAGCTGGGCCCAGAGGCTCTCTATAATCCCTGCTGTGCTAGCTGGCAGTTTCTCTGCTTCATCACAGCATTGTAAAATTGGATTTGCTATTTTGTAGCAGCACTGCATTTTTTACTCTTATTGAGGTTGTGATCCACAACAACAACCAGCTCCTTCTAAGCAGTGTTGCTGCCAAGCCAAATATCCCTTGATCTGTATTTCTGTGTTATAGAAGGAGAACCTTAGTGTAGCACCTTACATTTGATTTAGTTGACATTTTTTCTTGTCTTTACTCTAGGGATAGTAATAGAGAAAGAGCCTTGTTAGTCTGATCTTGCTAAAACAAAAGGAAAAACTATGTAGCATAGTAGCATATATACCAAAGGAATGCAATGAAAAAGTTCTGTAGATGCTGTATTGAATCTGATTAATAATATGTTAATATAAGAGGGGCTGACTAACAGATAAGCCATAAAATGGGAAGAACCTGCATATGCCAGTAAAGAATCTCGTTGCAGGTCACACAATTCTTTTGATCTATTTTCCTGTGTAATGGTGACCAGCCTTTGCAACCCTGCCAAACCCAAGAGTTCAAAATATTGAGTTGGGCCCCATAAATCAGGAAATGTGTTAAAAATAATGAGATTCGAAGTCATAGAATCATACAGTTAGAAGTGATGATGGGGTCATTTAAATAAGATACAGGATTTGATGAGTCTAAGCTATCCAAAATAGAGGGCTATATGGCTTCATTTTGAAAACATTGAGGCTACGTCTAGAATGGCATGATTTTGACATCGTACCCAAAAGACTGAAAGTGAACAACCCATTAAGATCAACATTCTGTACTGATTATAGTGAGAGACTCTGCTACACACTGTCCAAGAAATTAAGAAACCACTTTATTAGTATCCTATACAAGAAACAGAAGAATATCAAGCATTACATCTCTAACCTTGAAAATCTCATCTCAAGACAAACATCCACACCGGTTAACACCTTACAAGACTTTTATTCCACCAGATAAGAAATCTACTATGCACACTTCTACTGCCTACAAAAAAGAAAAGACAATACACTTCCTAAACATCACAGGATACTACAACAGCAACTACCTCAGCCCACGAGATGATATTGTCAACCTCTATAGCTACAAACTCAACCCAGCAGAAGAATCTGTCTTACAGCCTGAGTATTGGTGTTTCCACAATCTCTCTAGACACTCTGTTCCATTGTCCTACTGTTCTTACAATCAGAGAGTTTATCCTGAGAGTTAATAGAAATCTTCTGTGCTGTAGTTTGAATCCATTATCTTTTTTCTGGTCGGCTGATGCAGCAAAGACGTATTTTTCTCCATTAGGTTTATGGCAGCTTTTCAAGTATTTGAAGTTTGTTAACTTATCCCCTCTTAATATCTTTGTTCCCAAACTAAGGGTATGTCTAGTTTACATGCCTCTGCTGACAGAGGCATGTAAAATAGGCTACCTGACATAGTCAATGAAGCGGGGATTTAAATATCCCCTGCTTCAACATAGTCAGTGAAGCTGGGATTTAAATATCCCCAGCTTCATTAAAATAAAAACGTGCCGCGCTGTGCCGGCTCAGCTGATCGTCGGCACAGCGTGCAAGTCAAGACGCGGATCGGTCGACAAGGGAAGCTTTTCTCGACAATTCCCTTATGCCTCGTGAAACGAGGTTTACAGGAGCGGTTGATAAAAGCTTTCCTTGTTAACTGATCCACGTCTTGACTCACACGCTGTGCCGACAATCAGCTGAGTTGGCACAGCGCGGCCGCCATTTTTATTTTAATGAAGCCGTGGATATTTAAATCTCCGCTTCACTGACTGTGTCGGGTAGCCTATTTTACATGCCTCTGTCGGCAGAGGCACATAATCTAGATGTACCTAAGAATACCCAGTTCCTTCAGCCTTTACACGTATGGTGTGCATTCTGTCCTTTTTATCACCATGTCATTCACCTCTGGTTCCTTTCCAGTTTCTCTACACTCCTCCTATACCTTGGACACAGTACTGCAGCTGAGACGTAACCAGCACCAAACACACCAGTACTGTTGCTTCTTCTGATTTCCATGTTAAGCCTCTATTAATGCAACTATAAGAGTCAGCTTGGAGCGACAGGTACTCTCCTAGTTAGAGTGCCTGGCTATGAGCCCCCACTTGGTTGAGTAACCTCAGTCTTTAAGGCCTGTTTAGTAGGGGGATCCTGGTACTCCTTCTCCACTAGATTGCAGCCCAGTTCCCAGGATATGTCAACTCTTGAGTGGGAGCATCCCTCCCAGTAGGAAGTCAGAATCCACTGCCCTGGGCTACTTCCTACCAGTCTGTTCAGTTCCAGGCATGGCCCTCCAGTCTTGTTGGCTGTGTAACCTGCTTCCTGTAGGGCTCCTTCTTGGGCCTTGGACCTTGCCTTGCTGCTCTCCCAATTTCCTTTGAAAGAACAGGTGTAAATGAGTGAGTCAGTGCCCCACAATGTCTTTGAGGTCTGCCCCGTCAGTTACCTCAGCTGTTGAAGGCTCTTGTGTGGAGAGACAGTGCTTACTCTCAAATGGCTGCCCAGCTAGTACTTCTTCCCTTCATGCAGGGAGACAACTAGCGCCTTCCTTGAATGAGTACTAAT